GGTAGGGATGAAATCGATGGTCTTTTAAAGCTTTCTGAACTGTAGCTTTTGGTATTCCAGTCGGTCTTTCCATCATTCTCACTGAAGTTGATGGACCTAGTTCCACTTCCTCTAACACAGCTTCAACATCTACCGGTGCAGGACGTCCTGTTTCGCCGCCACGCCTTCAAGGTATGCGGCCTTAAATAAGTGAAAAATGATAGTTAACTAGCAAGCAAACAAGAAAGGTTTAAAAATCATTTACCTTCGTTAATTTCTCTATGGGTCCGGGCGAATACTTCACGACCCGGATGGCGACGATTGGCTTATCGCTCTGCATAGAGTCTTTGAGCAGCTCTGGCATTACAGCAAGCTTCACCGTAAATTAGGGGAATATCCTCATATTCATGCGACGTATACTGCGTGTTCTCTGTCATAATATTAATCACCCTCATTGCGAGAGTGGTGTCGTATGCAAGTCGTTTTTCGAGAGTCGAATCGTATCGCAAATTACACGTCATTGCCTAAAAGTTCCATTCGACTAGTGTATTAAAACGGAAAAACTTGGCAGCACTGTATAGTTTTCGACGATTTTCGTCATTTACTTATTTCAGCACGACAGTAAACAATGCCAATTTTTGCGAGTCGTACAATTTAGCCTAATTTACGACTTACGCAATGAGGCTGAATAACACAATGTTCGAAGGGTCCAATTTCACAAAATTCACTTTCACTAATTCCGGTAAGTAACACAAAATAATGTCAGGAGCAGGTAATAATGCACCTTTGTACTATATTGCATGTCATTTGACGGTAACAAAGCAAATTCAATTTAAATCTATTAAATACATTCTAGCGTGTCTCCTTTACCCACAAAAGCGGCTATAACTTTTTTTTATATTCGAAACAGTAAGAGTGGCACCTTTCTGAAATCTTTATTAAATTAGCAATTTTTTATGTATGTAAAGTAATAGCTCAGTACATTTTTTTTTCATCAGAGATAGTTAAAGTTGAGGAAGAATATATCAAATATTAAAAATCCCAAAATAGTCCTAATTTTATGATGGTTCCTTAATATATTTTAACTACATTGCATTTGAGTATGAGAGGCAACTATCTGGAAGCATTTTACATAAAAAATTTACTAAGTATTGCCCGGTTTGTAGTTGCAGTTAAAGAAAATACATGAAAAGGCACGCATTTTATTAAATTCAAAAAAATGTAAATATTTCAATAACGGTGACACTTTATCTGAAAATTTTTTGTTTATCAGTGAGCTCACCCCCCCCACCTACCTTCCCCTAAAGTTTGGCACGTTACTTCTGGGACACCCTGTATGTACGTATGTGTACAACTTTTTGAACATTTTGTTTGTATATAATTCAAAATTTGATTCTAAACATTTTAATGCAATAAAAAGTTTTAAATTATTTACTTTACGTATTCTGGTTATGTGTACTGTTTTTTCTTTTTTTTTCAGATTTTGTCGAAAATTGTTACGTTGACTCCGTCAATATTTGTTATAACGTATGGACCTTCATATATGTTTGTATGTTTACCGCGTGGTTCCTTTTGAACTATCATTTAAATTAACTATTAACGGACGCGCGGTCTTGTTATATACCGTTTGGTTTCGAATTTTATGTTTGTTAATAAGTTCTTTTGCAAGCGCATTTTTGCATTCTATATTTGATTTCTTTCGAATAATTATCAATGTTATATATCGGATGAATTTTTACATTTTGTAATTCGGTTGGCAAAATTGCTTTTCTACGGAATACTAATTCAAATGGTGAAAGTTTGTTATCAAATACAGAACTTGTTGTTGTATTGTGCAAAAATGTGAAATATTTCAAATTAATGTCGCAATCGGACAAAGTTTCATTTAAATACGCGCGTAAATATTCATTAAAGACACGGTGGTTTCGTTCAATAGTACCAACGGTTTCATGGTGATGTGCTGTCGAGAAATTGTGCTGGATTTTTAAAAGTTCATTTTTGAACTCAGTGCCCAAATGGGATTTTATAGTGTTCATAATGCCGTATGTTAAAACAAAGCTTTCAAAAATTGCAGAAGCTACTGTTTTTGCGCTTTTATCCGGTGTGGCTATTGTTACTAAATATTTGCTTAAGTCGCATATAATGTTTACTGCGAACCTAGTGCCATTAATGGACTCAGCCAAGGGTCGTATTGTGTCTATAACTACAACATCGAAGGGTTTGAATGGCGTTGGGGTTAGTACTAAATTTCCTTTAGTTTTAGGTTTTACTTTATTTAATAAACATTTCTCACAGCTTTTTACGAATTTAGCAATATCGCGTGTCATATTTTTCCAATAGTATTTTGTAGGTAATTTTGCATATTTTTTTTTGTTTCCGCAATGTCCGCCTGATATCGGGTCGTTATGGTAAATTGTCATGAGTTTAAGTTTCTTGTCGTCTTCAGTTAATGTTTCCACAGGGGCTGTTAGTATAATTTGTAAAGATTTTAAAACTTTGTTTCCACTAATTTTTAAGTCTGTAATCGAAAATTGTTGAAAGAGTGAATCATTTTTTGCCATTCAATTTCTTTAATGTTGTGATTGCCGGCTTGGTTTTGAAGCCTCAAAAGTAGCTCATCTAAGTTCGATATTTTTTTAACAATCTCAAAATTAATTAACTCGAGTGTTCGATGTTTTAAATGCGCATATATTTTAATACTTGAAATTTCATAGTTTTTATCGTAAGTAATTTTGGTTTTTATCCGTGGAACTTTTTTTGAAAAATTGTAAGAAAATTTGTCGTAAACTTGTACTGTGGAGTTATTTGTGTGATTTTCTTCGTACTGTGGTTGCATTTCTAAGTTTTGTTTTGTCATCGATCTTGTTTTTACTGCTAAAATATGTTTTGTTGTGTCTTTAAGTTCGTCAATTGTGATTCGTGATAGTGCATCCGCACCAACGTTTGTTTTGCCTTTTACATATTGTATTGTAAAATTGTATTCCGAAAGTTTTAGTCTTATTCGCGAGAGTTTTGAGGACGTGTCTTTCATATTAAAAAGGAAAACTAATGGTCGGTGATCAGATTTTACAGTCAAGTGTGTGCCATAAACGTATGGTCGAAGTTGCTTGATTGCGAAATATATTGCTAGAAGTTGAAGTTCGATAGTTGCCTTTTTTTGTTCTGCTTTATTGAAAGCCATAGAAGCAAAACAAATTGGTAAGTCGTTGCCGTTGTGGTTTTGGCTTATAATTGAACCGCATCCGGTTTTAGATGCGTCGACTGTAGTTATGAATTCTTTGCTAAAGTCAGGATACTGTAAAAGTTTAGGAGACATCAAAGAAGATTTAAGTGTTTTAAAAGCTTGCTCACAGTAGTTATCCTATTTAAATTCTACATTTTTTCTGCTCAAACGATTTAAGGGTGCTGCCAGAAGCAAAGTCAGGTATAAACCGTCTATAATAGTTCGCAAACGCCACGAATCTTCGGACTGCGTCTTTATCGCATGGCTTTGTGTACTTTTTAATGGCTTCTATTTTTGTATCATCTGGCAGTAGACCTCTTGCTGAGCACTTGTGTCCTAAGAAAGTTACCTCAGATCGTAGAAAATTACATTTATTTGGGTTAAGTCGCAAGTTGAATTTTCTGCAAGTTTCGAACACTTTTTCTAGATTTTTAAAATGGTGTGCCTCACTGCATCCAATAACTATTACACCATCGACATACATAAAAGCTTGATTAGGTGAAATACCGGAAAATGCTATAGACATCATTCTTGGAAACGAGTTAGGTGCTACATTAAGACCAAAAGGCAAGAACTTCCAACGGAAAGCTCCGCGATCAGTGCTAAAAGATGTAATATCTCTAGAATTTTTATGTAAAGGAATTTGGTGAAAACCAGAATACATATCCAGAATCGAAAAATATTTTGCTCTTCCAAGGTTATCTAAAATGTCGTCTATACGTGCTAACGGTAATTTGTCTGCAATTAGTTTTTGGTTTACTGCTCTAAAGTCTACGCACATACGGTATGATTTTTGGCCTGTTGGATCTGTTTTCGGCACTAAAATTAAAGGACTGTTGTAGTTGGAGTAGCTTTCCTCGATCGATTGTTTCGCAATAAATTATCGACTTGTTTCTTTATTTCTTCGCGTTGTGAATATGGCAATCTGTAGTTTTTTATGTAAACTGGTGTTTTGTCTGTCAGTCTCAATTTTTGTTCGTAAAAGTTGTTCAGAGTCATAAGGTCGGATTTTAAGGCAAATATGTCTGAATATTTTGAGCAAAGATCAAGCTATTTATTTTTAGCATGATTGGGTACTTGTCTTTCTAAAATCGATTTGAGTTCTTCTATGCGTTTCGGATTAGATGACGTTTATAAACGTTGAAGTTTGTTATGTCTTCGGTTTGTATATTGAAATTTCTTACCTATTTTACTTCGTCAGTAGTGTTTATTAGTTTTAGTATCGGGTTTACCGTGTCAACGATACATTTCGCTGTAAAAACACCACTACAAACTTCCTGAGCGTCTACAAAAAACAGGGTTTTTGGATTTACCAAAATTAAATAACCGAAAAACTTCGCATCTAGGTGGATTTACTAAGGTGTCGGTAGTAGTACCGTGCAAAATTGAAACGCTGATCCTTTCTGTCCCCAAACCAATGGTTATGCTATCGTTTGCATAGTTGATTATACATTTGTTTATTTTTAAAAAGGCTTTTCCGAGTATGCCGTCCGAATGAATGTTAAAGCTGTCATTTACAACGTGAAGAGTGTGGGGAATGAAAATGTCTGATACTACCAAATTTGTATTTATTGTGCCCAAGGTTTGGACCGTTTCTGATATTACGCCCGTGATATTAATAATGTTATTGCCGTTTATTGTGGATTTAGTTGTTAGGCTTGAAAATTGTATAAGCGAAATGTCTGCTTGAGAGTCTACTAAAGAGTGCATTGTTTGTGAGAATCACTACAATTTATTTCAATGAAATCGGAATAGTTGAGATTTAGGCCGTAAATGGATTTTTCGTCTGTAAAAGTCGTTAGTTGTTCAAGTCTAGCTCCCCCAGTGTTCGCGCCTGAGGGGCCTCGGCGTTTGAAGTCCGAACATTGGCAGCATTTCGTGTATTTAAACGCGTATGATTGTTATTTCTTCTGCTTGAAGCCTGACTGTTGTTACTATTATTGTAGGTATTTCGTCTATTACTGAAACTATTATTCCTATTCTGATTGTTGTTTCGATTGCTAGTATTGGCGCTGTGCCTATTTGAATTGCCGTTAAACCTGAAATTGTTATTGTGATATCTGTAATTATTGCTGCCTCTAAAAGCTCCTCGAAAATTAGTTGTTCGTATGGAACGTAACCTAAAAGCCAACACCTGCCGCTCTTTTACTATATTGTCGTGCTCCACAATCATCTTCGCTACAACATCTTTCGAGTCGCTGAAGGTTGACGATGCTAGTATCGACTTTTCCATATCTGAACGGCTGTTGAGCCTACAAACGTTTATTGTTTGCTCGACTGCCATCTCGTGAGCTTTCGCTTGTGTCATCCCTTCAATAATAAGCGTACGCTCCAGAGCATCTGCGAGCTCCTCTACCTGTTTCGAAAAATCTGAATAATTGTTATGCACTTTCAAAGCTGCAATTTTACCAGCGACAACTTTCGAGTTATCTGGTTTTATTTTATTTGACAACGCTTCTTTAATTTGACTAACTGAGATTATTTGCGTTGGTATGGACTCGCGAGCTTTACCTTCAAGTTTGGATTTCAAAAATGCAATAAATGTTATAGTGAGGCTTTCGTCTGACAATTCTTCAATAAGGGTAATTTTATCAATAAAAGAGGCAAGTGATAGCGGGTCACCACTATAATTTTCTCTTATAATCGAGGCGCATAAGCTTATAAATGATTTCTTTTGCTCAGGCGTTGCCATTTTCGCGTTGTTATTTTGAAAGAAGTTAATATTTGGCGAGCTAGTGGTTACGTAAGGAGGGTCGTCGAATCCCAAAAAATTTTCGAGGAAAGGCAAGGAACGACTCTTTTTAATACTATTAACGTTGAACGTGCGTTAGCAAATTCTTCGTCGGAATCTGCGTCCGAACACAAAACGTTTTCTGTAATTAATTCGTCAAAATCTTCTGGTACTTTTATTTTGCAACCAATTTTACAAAAACACTTAAGTAGCTTTTCTCTACATCGCGATAAACTTTCAATTAATGACTTTGGCTTAACCCTTTGTTTGAAATGCGAATTGACTAGTATTAAAATGTTGTTATAACTTTTTATTAAAGATTCTTTATATTCCTCTAGCTTGCCCTCTTTTGTTGAGATAGGACGACTTTGTAACACACGTTTTGACACTTTTGCAAAATCAGTACGCAAATATATAAACGCAGTATCAAAATCTGGCATTTGACAAAGCCGGCATAGATGTTTAAAAAAGTTGATTTATTTAAATTATTGCAAAAAGATGTTGGATTTTGTTCGCAATTATAGGCACAGTAAAATTTTCACAAATGGCATTCAATCGGAATTAATTTTGGTTTTTGAAAAACAAAGTTGTAAATGTGGCAATCTGATAGCACGGCCTGGTTTATAAGAAAAATATGTATCGATGATTTTGATTTTATATAAAATTAAAAAAGGTTTCCAGCACTCACTCGGCGAAGCACAGTAGAAAAAGAATGTTTGTTTGATAATATCAAAATTTTGAATTACATAAATGTTTTGGAAAAGTTTCCGTTAACCACTTTGCAAGGAACTGTTTACTAAAAATTTTAAATTGTAACTTAATTTTAAGAAAAGTTGCGTGGCAACATTTTCGATGTAAAAAATTCTAAAAAACCGCATAAATAAATCCAGTGAAGCAATATTGAGCAAAAAAAGACATTTATTTCTTCACTTCAACACTTATTATTCCACGTAAAACTGAACATTAATGAAATAAATAAATTGTATCTGTATTTTAACCAAAAACAAAGAAATACCACAATAAATACATGAATTATGTAAGAATATAAAGGAAAATTATTAATCAGAAGCACTGTCTCTTACACACTCAAAAAAGTAATAAAAACTCTCAAAAAAGCAAAATCGCTACAGCGAAAAAAACCGCATAAATTCAAATCCGCATAAAAAGAGACCTAAGTGTATATGATAAAGTATATATTTTGACAATTTTAATTATATAACTGCATGAAAGGAAGTATATATGTAAGTATAAGGATAAACTTTTTTTTTGTATTCAAATATTAGTACATGGTAAAATCTAAAGTATATATGTATGTACGCTCATACCATCAGGTCCCTCGAAGTCACCTTCCTGCGTACCGCTGCTCGTATTGCTTGCCATGTATATGTAGCTGTGTTGCCATGTGAATATGTGTTGTCCTTAGGGTTCGAAATTTCAGACTTTGGTATCGATACTGAGTACTCATTCTGGCATCGAGCTCATGGTATCGATACTCTAAAAGTAACAGGGAAAATGTATCGATACTACTCAGTATCCGATTCATTAAAATACGTTTTTTGGGATACTAAAATTATTTTGTTCTTCAATCGTATATCTATATATATTTCCTGAAATTAAAACAATATACATTTAAAATATTTAATTTTTATTTCATTGCAGAACTTACTTCCACGTTAGAAGTAATTTAAACGTTAAATGTACATACATAAATACACACATATTTACTTTCACGAATTTTAAATTTTATTAAGAATTTCTGGAAACTTTGTGGGTATGCATTTTTGTAGCCTATTCAATTTTGTATAATATTGTGCAAGTTTTAATTAAAAGTCAACGGTAGTAGGCTACACGGAAAGTTGAATAGGTTACAAAACTGCATACTTTAAAGGTCTCTAAAAATTCTGTATTTTCGTGAACTTTAAAGTAAAGTTTAAAGTAAAGTTTTATAGCCTTATTCATAAAAATAAAAAAGGATAATAAACTGAAAAATGTATGAAAGTGTCATTTTACTTAAGTTCTTTAAGCCTACTTCAAACTTAAACTTATTTGGTTTATGTTATGTAACAGACTACACGAAATTTCAGTTTATTTTAAGTGATGGACAAAATTGAATGATAGTAATCCATATAAGCAAAGAAAATTGGGTTGCCAATGGAAGACAAAATTTAAAAAGTGTGTTTTTTAAAAAGTATTCGATACTACGAGTACTTTGGAAAGTATAGAGTAAAATCACCAAATAAGGTATCGAGTATTAAAGAACTCATTTTTATACCCTCAGTATCGATACTTACTCAATATCGGTAGTATCGTTCGAACCCTAGTTGTCCTAGTTCTAGCTGTTGTTGTTCGTTTTCACGCTGCTATCGCACCCTGCTCAGCGATATTTATATTTGTGTTGTTGTTCGTTTTATGTGTGAGTTTCTAGGTGGCGTGGTGTTAACGCCGTTATAACGGGTTGCGCTGGTCTACCGGTTTGCGTCGGTGGTACGGCACGGAACGCGTGGCGTAGTTGCGACGCCGTTATGTCTTGCTTAAGGCTGGTGTTACAGCACGGTCACAATTTACTAGTACTTCAATAATTTATTCATGTATTTTAAATTTTCATTTTTGTATGCCATTTATTGTTTTTCCCACTCATGTGCTTACCAACCACTTTTTTTTAGGTTTAATAGTTTCACGAATTCGGTACCACCGCTTAATTTTTTTTTTTTTTTTTTTTAATTTGTCCGTTTTCTACCGTTACTGTAAAGTTTGTTTTTTTCTCAAATTTGGTACGACCGTTTTTTTTTGTATTTTTAATATTTTTATATTTGTCTGTAATTTTTTGGTTTTTTTTTGGTAATAATTTAATTAACTATCACCGCCACCACATTTTTTTGATATGAGTTAATTTTCATTAGTATCTTATGGTTTTTCACATAAGTATGAGCGTATACATATTAGAGTGGTCCAAAAAAATTAAGTTAGAATTTTAATGCCGGCACCCCCTAGGATTGTTCTATATCGAAAAAAATATACCCCTATTTTTTTATTTTGAAATCAAAAAATATTTAGGGGGTGCTCAAAGCGCTCAAAGTTTTCCATGTATTTTATATGGAGAAAAAACCATTTTTCGTAGAAATGGTATAAAACTCTTAAAAATCAATATTTTTCAATCGGAAAACTGTGGTTCTCTTCAGGAGACTTCCAGTATTAATATCTAATTGTTTATTTAGCTATTTTTTATGATTAAAGATTTTTCCATTGCATTTTCAAGGGGTTTTGGAGGACCTATAAAATATAGTTACTATGAAAAAATGGTTAAAGAGACAATTGCGTATTATTACTGGTAATCTTCTGAAGATAAGAAAAGTTTTCCGATCGAAAACTGTTGATTTTCAAGAATTCTACACTATTTCCACGAAAAGTGGTTTTTCCCCCATATAAAATACATGGAAAGCTTTGAGCACTCCCTATTTTTTTTTTTTTTTAAATAAAAAAATAAGGGTATATTTTTTTCGATATAGAACAATCCTAGGGGGTGCCGGCATTAAAAATCCGACCTTATTTTTTTACATACATTTTTGGACCACTTTAATACATATGTATACTTCTTAAGCTTTTGCTTTTGTAATTCTCTTTTGTTTTTTAATTGTTTTTGAAAGTTGTTTGTTTTTTTTGAAATTCCTTAAGTGTTTTTTTTTGTATTAATTTGTCGTAACCACCACCAAAAATCTAATTAAATTCAATTCTTATTTTCGATTTATGTGTTTCTACACATTTTTAATTTAAATACTTTATTTTTAATTATTTTTTTTTTATTGTTGGGCTTTGCCCGTGGCAGGCCATTGTCTCGGTCGCCATGTCGAAGTGGTAAATTCCACTTCGTTAAATTAACAGGCGTACCTGTTACCGGCCAGCGCTGGTAGCCAGCAATCCGCCAAAAATATTAAGAATTTAGAATGAATACGTGTTCTCGTTTTAAAATGCGCGTAAAGAGTGACGCTAATTTATTTTTCAACTTCAATCTTAAACCTAGCTGCTATTGTTCAATACAACAGAGTTGATTTTCAATATCGTAAATTTGTATTTTTAATAGGGTAATTTTGTAGGGTTGCAAATTTGTATTCTTGATCGCATTACAGTAGTTAATAAACAAAAAAGTTAATAAATTTACAATGGAAAACAATAACAAAGGTTTCTGCTTTTGAACTGAATAAAAAAAAATTGTGAAATATCTGTATGGTGCGGTGTCTCGTTAATAACTTTTTTATCGTAAAAAAGTATTTGCCTGAGTTTTGTGGAGTAAAAGTTGTATGTATTGTTCACGATTTTTTTTTTTAGGTGAAAGTTGAGAATCTGCTCTTTAAAATCATGTGCGTGGGCTTTGCTAGAGGGCGATCGTAAAACTAACGAAGCTTATTCACTCAAAATTGATATTTACAATGATTTTTAAGCAAAAAATAAGAATATTATAAATTTTTTGAAAATGGGCGTAGCCACGCCCACTTATGATTACACATGCATATCTTGGTAACCGCTTCACCAATTTCTACCAAACTGGGCGCAATTGTTCGTCTTGGTAAAGTATACCAAACGGCGGAGAATTTTTAAAATCGGAAAATAACCACGCCCACGTCCCGTATAACAGTAATTTGGAGAAATACGAAATCTTCGATAAATCGGTAAATACTGAAGCTACTGTATTCAAAATTGAAGCTTGCAATAATTCTTTAGCAACAAATACGCTTAAAATAAAATTTTTGAAAATGGGCGTGACCCCACCCACTTATGACCACATATGTGTATCTCGGTATCCTTTGGATCAATTTGTACCAAACTCGGCACGATTATTGTGCATCCCATAAAGGCAAAACATTGAAAATTATTGAAATGGCGCTAAAATTACGCCCACTTTTTATATAACGGTAAATTTCAGAAATGCTTAAAACTTTACTATATCAAAATTTAAGCACGCTAAT